ACTGGCTTCAGGCATTTGCTTTAGTGATATCACACCAGGAATTTCCAGAGAATTTGTCGTATAGATGATAAGGACTCAGCATGGTGTCTCTGGGAGACTGAGTGAGGTAGGCAGGTGCCTGGGGAGACACACATGCTCAAAAATGAGACTCTTTAAGGTTTTAAGGAAAACAGGCTCCAAGGTTGAGAGTAAAGCTCTATTTTTTAAGGAATGACAAATAATAGAAACAGTAGGAGATATTGAAGGGAAGTTGAGTCTGTCTCCAGTAGTAAGAACATAAAAACACATTGTGCACTACAACCGTCCCTCATTGCATAGCAGCCCAGGACTTGAGGTTTGTCAGGATTTGCTGAATGAATGAATGAATCAGCAAATCAAGGTGCATCTCTCTCTTTCTCTGCATAAAAGCACAGAAAGCTGCTTGAAATGATTACTTGGCAGTCAGTTTGAAATGGCTTACATTAAGGATTATGGGGCTAATGTATCTGAAAGACGTGGAAATGAAAATTAAAACCCCAACACCAATTAATTTAGGGTGGGGTGGAGTATTGGCATTGGAAGGAACATTGTAGCAGAAACCTAGACTCAGGAGAGCTAACAATAATGAATGCAAACCACCTCTGAGTTACCTATCAGTCAAAACAAACAAAGAAAAACAAAAATGCTGGATTTGTGAGTTGTTTTGAAGAAGCATGTCGTGTCACGAAGAGAGAAGTGTGCTGAGTGTGGAGAGAAATTTCTTGCCATTTTGGGTCATTATGTGATGAGCCTCATAACCACCAGCCAGAGAAAGGGCTGTTTCTTAAAGACTCTTAATGAAAACACTGAGCATGATCTGAAGTCCCCCTGGATAGGAAGGAATTCTAAAGAGAGCTGGGTAGTAGAGTCTGACCGTGAAAGCCTTATCTTTTGACTTGAAGACCTTACTGGCTGCCTTGGTCAGCGTTTCTCCCAGAACCAGGAGGACCCAACGCCATGTGCTAAACAGAGCACAACCAAGGATGTTCATTCCATTCAAACTGGGACCAGAGGAAAGAGAGGAAGTTGAGCGGCTTAACTGGTATCTCAAAAATACTGCATGTTAAAACAAGTCTGGGTACATGGTGAATAACAAAATACCACAAAAATGTTTTTATGACAGACCCTCTTGGAAGGAATTGCTTTTTTTTTTTTTTTTTGCAGCCCACTTTGGACTGCATTTCTAGACCTTGTGATAAAGGTATTTATTCTCTACTGACCCTGGGGATGATTCAATGGAAAACTCCGGATCCCTCCCTCAAGTATGTTATTTACCTCCTTTCTCCAGGAAGGTACATGGTGACAATTCAGAATCGAGGTTCTCAGTGAATGCTTGAAAGTCAGACATTGTCAGTTGGGAAAAGGACTCCATCATTCCCTTGTCCTAAGCAGGTGGAAAGAAAAATGAGATTTGGTGGTTAAATGGTTGCAGGCTCCCCATGCATGTCTCCACCCTACCATCATGGCTTCTGAGCAAGAACCTCAGTTTCCACAAATACTGGCACACCTGGACATGCCTGGATTGCGAGTTATGGATGCTTCTGAGTTACAGATGCTTCTCTTGTGTATTCAATGAAGGGTTGTGCATTTGCCTGTAATACTCTTTGTTGCCATTTTATCTTCACATTAAAAATAGGTCATTATGTTAAATTACTTTGCATATTGTCAGGGTAGAAGAGCAGCACCAGGGCTGCAAGTAAGACAGAGACTTCTACAACAGGGAACAAATCCACTCAAATCCAGGTACATGGAGGCAGCAGACTGAGCTACTTCATTATGGCGGTGGCAGCACCAGGTTTCTATGAATATTTGGTTCAGAATGTTACTGCTGTCCCTGCCCCAGGCTTGCTGTTGGCACGATCTTTGTAAAATTTCCCTTCCCATCTCCTGTGGTTTCCCATCACAATCTTGGAATAAAATTCACAATCCTGAGCATGGCCTACAGGGTGTTGTCTACACCCTCTATGACCCCCTCACAGTCTAGGTTGCCCTTCTGCAGCCACAGTGGTTAGGGGGCCCTCGGACTGCCAAGTTCATGTCCACTTCTGGCTCTGCTCTCCCTTGGAACACTCTTCCCAAAGTCACAAACCTGAATCCTTCACCCTCAGACATCTACTCCTCAGTTTGAATCTTTTCACTGCAGCCCTGCCTGATGTGTTGTTTCTGTCACTTTGCCAAGCCTCTTGTTTTTCTTCAAAACTCTTATCACTGACATCATATAATGTATCTGCAGCATGGTTTGGTTTATTGCCCATCTGTCTCCATCAGAATGTGAACTCCCTGAGGTCAGGGAGTCTTTCTGTTTTGTTCACTCCTGGGTTTCCATGATCTAGAACAGTACCTTGCTGAGAGTATGTGCTCAGTAACTACTTTAGAAAGACTTGGTTAATATCTAATATCTTATTTATCTATAAAATGTCAATGGCCCAAAAGAGGCTACTGTCTAAGACAGGTGACTGTGGCTGGTGTCACACAGGTAGAAACTACACAGATGTGTTGGGGAGAGGCAAAGCGTGATGAGTTGAAATACTTTTCAGTTTCCTCCCATGGGAGAAAATTCTGGAGCACCACAGTCTTTGAAGAAAATGCTAGAACTACAACATGGTGGAGTAAATAAGTGCCTTAGGAAATGCTTTGCAGACTTTATATCACCAAGAATCTCCTTTAAATTTCTTCTACATATTTTTTTTTTTTGACAGGCAGAGTGGACAGTGAGAGAGAGAGACAGAGAGAAAGGTCTTCCTTTGCGGTTGGTTCACCCTCCAATGGCCGCCGCGGCAGGCGCGCTGCGGCTGGCGCACTGTGCTGATCCGATGGCAGGAGCCAAGTACTTATCCTGGTCTCCCATGGGGTGCAGGGCCCAAGTACTTGGGCCATCCTCCACTGCACTCCCTGGCCACAGCAGAGAGCTGGCCTGGAAGAGGGGCAACCGTGCCAGAATCCGGCACCCTGACCGGGACTAGAACCCGGTGTGCCGGCGCTGCAAGGTGAAGGATTAGCCTAGTGAGCCGCGGCGCCGGCTCTACATATTTTTTTTAAGATCTTCTTATCAAAATGCTGAACTTCCTCAATAATACATTGATTTTTCTCAATTCGTTAATTAAAGCAGTAGGTAGCTCCCAATGAGAACAGCATATCAAAATAAAATAATCAGAGTATCATGAGACTATGAGATAATTCCTTCCAAAGCAAAGGCAGGGCTTGTGCAGCCTCATCTCCTATAATTAGATGCTCCCCATGGTATACCGTGAGATTTTGAAAATAGCTCAAGGGCCCCCATTAGCATAGAAAGAGCTGGGACTTGCCCAAGATCACATAGCAAGTGACTGGCAACACTGGATCAGAATCCTGGCCTGGGACCCCAGGTCAGTGCTTGGGAGCATTATGGGCACTCACATGTTAGGTCTGCCTGAGTTACAGACTTAGAGTTCGATGGTAAATACAGGTGTTATTTACTAAACATACAGTACATTTGTGCTAGGTGATTTTCTTACATTTGATCTGATGTCCAAATAACCTTCATAATGGGTATTATGATTTGCGTTTTGCCCAAGAAGAGGCCCAGAGAGGTGGGATAAGTAGTGAAGGCCTCACTGCCAGTGAGCAGCGGAGTCAGGAGTTTCACCCAGGGTTCCCTTCTTCAAAGCTGTCAGATCTTCCTCACCTATTGCTGCCACCGTATCCAGAGCCAGGGCCTTGCATGTGACTCATCCACTGGGAAATTGTGGCCCAGAGTGGTGGTCATTTCCAATTATTCTGATAATGGGACACTTCCCCAAAGTTGGTAGGCGACAAAACACACTGTCTCTTTAATTGAATGTTTATTAGACTCCAGGCTGGGGAGGAGACAATGGCAGGAAGATTGTCCAGAAAGGTGGGTGGGCGGGGACTTCACAGCAGGGAGATATCTCAAACCCTTTCCATAGCCACTCAAGCCCCCTAATTTTCCACTGCGTCTTGGCCTCCTTCCTTAGGTCATGCTCATCTTATACACAAACTATATATTATTTGCATTACCGGGACCTGAGAGCCTTTCTTTCCGGGAATCACATGTTTCCTGGCCATTTTGGAGGACTGTAAACTCTGGGAGCACTGGCAGATGGGGAGCCTCTCATGCAGCGGTCACGAATGTTTAGAAGCTGCAAAGGTCACGTCTGCTGCCTCATGAATATTTGGTTTCTGATAATGGACTTGTGACAAACACCTATCATTTGAATGCTAATTACAATGATTTCTATTTCATCCTCATTGGCTGTCTTATGAGATGATGTTCCAGAAAGTCCCTGGTGGGTGAGAGACATAGAATCATGTCTGGCGTGGGGCTGTTAGAAGGAAAACAGAACACTTTGTTCTTTTGGCGACCTCCCATGCAACTGACGAATCTGCTGCGCTGGAGAAGTTTTGTTTAAGTAAGGAATGAGGAATGATTCAGTTCATGTGACAGTCTAACTATGATATTTCCAAGATGGGCTGGGAGAGGCCGGACCTCTTTTCTTTACAGAAGGAAAGTGGAGCCTGGTGGGAAAATCATGAACTTGTGAAACTCAGAGACCCGGGTTTTTAACACCAGTGGCATAATTCATTTTATTATTGTTGGTGTAAGTAGTGATAACAACAACAGTAACAGTACCATTTAGTGTTGGCCAGATTTGTGAAGTTTTTGTAGTGATTTCTATTTTACAATGGAGGGGACTGAGGCTTACAGAGTGGACCAGTGAGGGTCCCGGCCGGAATCAGAATTGGATTCAGATGGGTCCAATAAGGAGCGTTTAAGAACAAGCACCTGCAGAGGCAGGGCAGCAGTAAGAGTGTCAACAAGAGGGCACCTGGGGTTTGCAGCTTTGGCAAACCCAGGGCTGAAGGGTGGAGGGAGGACACAGAGGGTGCTGGGTGTGGGACAGAGCCTGCCTGGCAGGAGCTGGCAGCACAGGGGAGTGCTACAGTGGTCAGAGCTGTGCACCAAGTCAGCGAGAACCGAGAACCAGCCAAGGGCTCTCTTTTGTCTCTGCTGTGATCTGCAGGTGCTGCTTGTTAATGAATGCAAAGAACAGCCAGAGACTGCGGGAGCCTGCTGCGGCTTTGCAGATCAACTGTCCACGCACAGGTAATTTAGAGAACGAGAAGGGATGCAGGATTTACACTCTGCAGGGCGGACCCCAGCAGAAATTCAGTTTGGATGATGCCACCCATACATTGAGTGGGACCACAGGGTTTCACACAATGGTGCTTTCTGGAGAGGGCACGCAGCTCCCAAGCAGGTTTGGAAATGGTTTAAGAGAACAGGGAGAGGATGCAGGCCAGGGGGACAGTTCCCAGGCGCCTTTAAACAGTCTGGGTGGCACCCAGCGGGGAACGCCCAGGCTTCCTCTTCAGCTCACAGAAGAAGGAGAAGAGGAAGGAGTGAGTCCCAAAAGTTGTCAGCAGTCAAACATCAAAACTGGAGCCAGCCCTCGTGACAAGGTGGCCAATGAGACGAAGCAGCGGAGGGAAGTTCAGCGCAGGGCCCCAGAGCAGGCAGCCACCAAGTGGCAGAGCTGGGTTTTCAGCCTTTGGCCAAAACTCATGCCTTTAATATCAGATTAACTGACGCTGTGACCTTGGGCAAATTCCTGAACTGCCCTGAGCCTTGGTTTTCTCATCGGTGAAATGGAGAGAATGACTCTGGGTCTGATGGCCGGCAGGTGCTGGGTGCTGGTGGCGGTTATCATTGTCACCCGTTCGTTTCCGCGGAGATTGTTATGTTGGTATTATTTCCTCTTCCCATCTTGCCTTTCTCTGCCAGCGCTTCGGGGAAGCCTGGCGCTCTAGGTTGGACTCCCATTTCCTCATGGAGTGTACCCTTAGTCACCAAGCTACCCCTGTTTCTCCAGTGTTGGCAAAAGCTCATCTGATTCAGCAGACCAGTTTAACACCTGTCTCTCAGAACGAAGGCAGCATAGCTTTCACTCACTCAGGGGCCTCAGGGGTGTGACGGGGAAGCTGAGAAGTGACAGCAGCCTCTCTCCCTCTGTCCTTGGCCATCAGCTTGACTTTCTAAGATGCTAAGTGAGACAGGCAATTTTTCCTCCAGTGACTAGAACTCTAGTGGTTCTAGAATATTCTACTCTTTACTATCACTCAAGCTCACCTATCCCATGGGCTAAGAGGTGTTTTGCACTTGGTCTCTGCTTCCTCTGCTGAATTAAAACAAACACGTTAGCAACTGTTTTTTAAAAAATGTATTTGTTGGGCCGGCGCCGCGGCTCACTAGGCTAATCCTCCGCCTAGCGGCGCCGGCACACCGGGTTCTAGTCCCGGTCGGGGTGCCAGATTCTGTCCCGGTTGCCCCTCTTCCAGGCCAGCCCTCTGCTGTGGCCAGGGAGTGCAGTGGAGGATGGCCCGAGTGCTTGGGCCCTGCACCCCATGGAGACCAGGAAAAAGCACCTGGCTCTTGGCTCCTAAAAAAAAAAAAAAAAAAAAAAAAAAAAAAAAAGTATTTGTTTGCATGAGAGGCAGAGAGAAACAGATGGAGCTCCCTAGTGCTGACTCACTCTCCAAGTGTCTGTAATGGACACAGATAGGCCTGGGGCTAAAACTCGAGTCAGGAACTCAATCCAGGTCTCCCAGGTGGGTAACAGGGATCCAGCAAGGGTCTGCATTGGCAGGATGCTGGAGTTAAGAGCTAGAGCCAGGAATCAAACTCAGGTACTCCAGTAGGAGGTGTGGGCATCTTCACTGTTCTTAACCATTAACACCAATAGTCTTGGTCCCTAAAGACTGAGTTTTGACATATTGGCATACCAACTAAGCCACTAGTGGTTTATGTATTTTGCTTTAAAAAAAAAGAGGCCAATAAATTAAGTTATAATAATAAGGAATATTTCTGAAAGAGTTTTGCTGGCAGCCACCTTTTCACGTGTGGGAACTGAAATCACTTCTGAAAAATCCCAGGTCCCCAGACTTCATGTGGACAAATGATCAATTAATTGATGCCATCAACCTATAGCCTGAGGCTAGGCGAGTACCAGCAGAGAGCTGTTAGGCAGAGAAGCCCATCAGAAAACGGTAACAGGAACTTTCTTTACTGGAAAGAAAATCCTGGCCGTGTGTCCTTCAGCCAGCAGTTCCTTTTGGGAAGAGAACAGATGCTACCCTGGCTAAGTAAAAGGCACAACACAAGTCCTTCTCTTCCTGCTTTTAAAGCCAGAAAACGCCATCCGTTGCAGGCCAGAACAAGACAGGTGGCGTCCATTAGAATTGGAAATGAGGTGCAGAGATAATGGACTGTGGGATCCACCATGCCAGCCTCGAGGGAGTGGCTCCCCGTCAGAGGGCTGATTGTTCTTCCCTTTTAATGAGGAGGCGCCATAAAATGTACAGCTCCTCATGCCACTTTGATTCTCTGAATTTTATTAATTGTTCTTTTGTGCATTCTCTTTTGCACAATTTGTTTTTGATGAACCACAAGTGTTCACTATAACTGGACTGGGCTGCCTCTGACAGAGACCCTGGGCTTTCTGGGAAGGGCCATGGGAGGAAGAGGTTCTGTGGGAGATGATTCCCAAAGCATCTGGAAAGTTCCAGGTCACCTCCTTGGCACAGGCCATCAGCGTCTGGGTGTCTTCAGAGACGGGGAAGGCAGAACAGGAGTTTATGAGTAAAGAACATGATAGACTCTTTGACCATGGCTGGGTTGGAAAAGGTTGAATTGTGTGGCAGAATGAGGGGATGTGGGCGCTCTATCTCGCCATCCACCCCACCCCTTCAGTGCCTACTCTTTCTTTCTCTTTCATCATAGCATGACACCTTGGCAGCCCCTCACTGCTCTATCTCCCAGGCTTTTTGCTTCATACACAGCAGAATTGGGAGAGTTGGGGCTTGAAGGACAAGACCCATATTTCATGGTTGCCCCCTTTTACAATGCTTCCCATATTTAGATAGCCAACCTCCCAATAGCAACTTCCTGCCTCTCGTGGCTCAGTTAGGGCATCTTAAATTGAAGGAAAGCTTTGAGTTCAGGCCTCAATCTCTCTTAATGGTGTGAAATGTTTTCCAACTCACATCATGGCAACGTTTGTACTAGCATTTTCACAACATCTGTGCTTGTAACCAAAGCAGGGTGGATAGGATTTCAGTCATCATCAAATAGCTGATGTGGGAACTCTCTAGGTGATGGTGATGGTGATGGTGATGGACAGGAGCTGACAAAGAGGTACAGGTACTAAGTAGACATTCCCAACCTTGATGGGTCAGTTGGAGGGGCACACAAAGGCTGCAGGCATGTATCTCTATGAGTTTCTTTGAATGGGGAGATAAAGAAAGGAAGAAAAGGAGAGAAGCTGCAGGCGGGAGACAGAAGGGAACCTACAGGGGAACTCTAGGGCCTTGCTGCTCAAGGTGTGGTGCTGGGGCCAGCGATGTGAACATCACCAGAGAAAGTACAGGCCTGCCCAAGAACTCGTGGAGGGGGATCCGCATCGTAACAGGATCCCCAGGATTCGTGTGCGCAAGCTGACATTTGGGAAGTGCTGCCCTGGGGCATCCAAAGAGTAAAACAAGATGTGGCCTAACCCACGTCTGCCCGGGACACTGTCGCACGGTAAGACACAGAGCCTGGAGACGTGTGCTTGTTGAGGGAGAAGGAGCAGTTAGAACTCAATCCTCAGGTGACTTTTAGATGATGGAAACCAATGAAAGGGGCTGAGAGAGAAAAGTGTGCAAGAATTACTTGACGCTAAACGTGAGATATGCTGGGAGGTCTCAAAAATAATACTGCGGCTGGGAGAAGGCTGTGGATCATGTGTAACACCCTAGCCCTCTTTGACTTAGTGCTGTCAAGAGGGCCACTACCACTTGGGGCCAGTGTGATGGAAGGGCCTCGGGAAGCCTCAGAGATGTGTGCTGCCGCAAAGATGGTCGCTGTAAGGAAAGGATGTAGGCAGTGGGACACTCTGTAGCCCATGATATGTGTTAACACCGATTTAGAAACCCAAGATCAGAAGGAAATGTGCCTCAGTTTATCCCTGTGCAATTTCATCGTTTACCTTTTTACATTTTTGTACCTGGCAAGCGGCAAGCTTTCTACAGCAGAGACAACATAAGTGGTAGTGAAAATCCAGCAAAATGTAAATAGTGCCTCTTTTGCCTGGGAGTGATGTGGAATTCTCTCTTTTCTTCTTTTGTGTCTGTACTGCCTAGATCCTGTCTGTGAGCTGATAAAGCTTTGTAACTAGAAGGAAAACAGCAAGCAGCATGGGATGCGGAAGCAGAAGGCCTGTGTTCTGGACGGACCCTGCTCTGATGGGTGTGTGCTCCATGCTCCTGTACACTTGCTCAGCCTCTCCTGTTCCTGTGGAAGTGGGGTGCTGCCACAGACCTGTGTGGAGGACGAGTAAGTACCACACAGACAACATCGCACTGGTACGTACCACACAGATTTTAGTCCCAAAGCTAGCTTGCAGGCACTGTGAGAGTCCCTTCTCTTTTCCCCCTCCTCCCCTTGGCTCACCTGATGGGAGGTCAATGCAGGGAGCCTATCTTTGGCTGGCTTCAGGGGAAGCCTTGGAATCGTCCTCTCCTTTCCAGAAATGAGTGGAATTTGTAGCCCCAAAGTTGCTCCTCCCCTTGGGTCAATTTGCTGAGATAGAATTCCTGCACTTCTCTAACCAAAATGCGGCCTAGCTGTCGGCCAAGCAGGTGCAGCATCTCCTATTAATGCTGTCAGGATCTGGTCACGAGGTCTTTCTGTTGAGGCCTCTTTAGCCTGGTTCTTTGGATTTCTGGATGAATAATTATAACCCAGATCTTAGTCAAGAATAATAATTACAGAAGTGGAGGATGGCCCAAGTCCTTGGGCCCTGCACCCCATGGGAGACCAGGATAAGTACCTGGCTCCTGCCATCGGATCAGCGCAGTACGCCGGCCACGGCGGCCATTGGAGGGTGAACCAATGGCAAAGGAAGACCTTTCTCTCTGTCTCTCTCTCACACTGTCCACTCTGCCTGTCAAAAAAAAAAAAAATTCAGGGATCCTAAATGAAAGATCTCTGTGAGTGAGATCCCAGTGGAAAGAACAGGTCTTCAAAGAAGCAGGTACCTTTCTCTGAAGGGAGGAGAGAACCTCCACTTTGAATATGACCTTGTCTAAACAAGATAAGAGTCGGTGAACTCAAAAGGCTTCCGTAGCCTTGGAAACTATCAATTCCCAACTTGACTCTCACTGGGATTAAACATGACAATAGGTCTGATCTGATTTCATCATCATTTAAAAAATCATCTATTATTTTTCACTTTATGTTTGTGTGGGAGCAAACTGTTGAAATCTTTACTTAATGTATGCTAAACTGATCTTCTGTATATAAAGAGAATCGAAAATGAATCCTCATGTGAATGGAAGGGGGGGAGAGGGAGTGGGAAAGGGGAGGGATGCGGGTGGGAGAGACGATATTGGGGGGGGAAGCCATTGTAATCCATAAGTCGTACTTTGGAAATTTATATTCATTAAATAAAAGTTAAAAAAAAGAATAACAATTACAACAAAACCAAGAAGGCTGTGTGTCTAAGATATTGAACAGGTTTCTGAAAGCAAGTAAGAAATAGAAGAAGTTGTTAGACCAACTGCTAGGGGGCTTCAGAGCACGGAGCCTGGGAAGTCCTGTAGGGTAGTTGAGTACCGAAACAGACTTGCAGTCTGGGATGCGGCTGATCAGGGCGGTCAGTAAGCTAAGAGGTCCGCATGGCCATAGCTTTCTCCTAATATGAGGGCAGGTGTGACATGTGGACCCGAAGGACACTGGCTTAGAGGGAGACACGTCTTTCACCCAGCAACCCAGTGCCTGATGACAATCTGGGAAACTTCATGGGACAAAAGCCTCAGGTGACTCCACTTTCAAATTTTGTTCAACCAAGAGGAAGTAGGGCTCGGATCTGGAAAGATTCTGGAAAGATTTTGTGACTTGCAGATGTGGGATGTTCGGCTTTTGTTAAGATAGGACTGTAGCCCAGCTCTTGGACTTAATTCCTAATGGCCTTGATCCTCATCAAATACAAACTAGGCCATTTGTTGACTCATTCACCCTGGTTCATGTCATTGGCTTTGACAGATGGTGGACACTGTGCTGGTCAAAAAATATTTACTGGGTCGGCTCTCCCTGGGGTCTGCCAGGCAGGCTCCCTTCCCCACTCTGTCTCTATAGCCGTTTCATGGCCTCAGCTGGGCAGGGAGGCAGAGAGGCAGCTGGGGAGGAGGAGTGTGGCAGGTGGTGGGAGAACAGAGGCCCTCTTGGGCATACAAGGAGTCCATTAACTCTCGGGATCATCAAGGTGAAGAATGCAAGACAGCCTTTCCTTCCTTCCCCACACCCTTGCCTTTCCGGCTGTCTGCTGCCCTGTCACCACTTTGTTTTTTTCTGGGCTATATTTGATAAATGCAGTTTGTAACTGTGTTAAAAAAAAAAAGATTCGTAGTAGAAGTGACACAGTGTATTGTGCTGCAGGTGGGTCTTGAAGGTTAAACTCTGGCTTTTTGTCACTTGGAAGTTTTAATGCACAAGAAAAGATTATGCAGCAATTAATACCCAAAACATTTGAATGACTTTCCTTATTTTCTAGTCATTCAGTTGGAGATGTTTATGTGTACACTTTTTAGAATTTAATGTTGGAAATATGCAAATATAAGTACATTATTTATTTCTACTCATCAGAAGAAGCAAGCACTTAATTCCTGGTGGATAGGAGGCTACTATTGCTTTTCCAAGAGTTCGTCTTTATTTAAAAGATTTATTTATTTGATAGAGTTATACATAGAGAGGGAGAGACAGACAGAGACAGAGACAGAGACAGAGATCTTCTATCCGCTGATTCACTCCCCTGATGGCTGTAATGGCCAGGGCTGGGTCAGGTGGAAGCCAGGAGCCAGGAGCTTCTTCTGGATCTCCTACATGGGTGGCAGGGACCCAAGTACTAGGGCCATCTTCTAGACCATTTGCAAGGAGCTGGATCAGAGGTGGAGCAGCCAGGACGTGAACCAGGGCCAATATGGTTGTAGGCAGTGGCTTTACCCACTACATCACAACATCGATCTTGATCATTTTCCTTTGAAAGAAAGATAAACCATCTCTTTGCTTGTGGTGATGGAACATTGGTGTCATAAATCACCCACACTCTCCAACCCCCATCCTCAAAGCCACTAACAGTATTCCCCTTATGACACCAAGGGATGAAAAGACATGTGTTTTACTTTCCAAGTGTTGAGAAAGAAGAACTTGAAGCAGAGGAAAAGGTAGCTCCCAGGAGTCTGGGTCAGCAAAGAGGGTGGTAGGTGGGTGAGTTTCTTTCTTTTTTTTATTTATTTGACAGATAGAGTTAGACAGTGAGAGAGAGAGACAGAAAGAAAGGTCTTCCTTCCGTTGGTTCACCCCCCAAATGGCTGCCACAGCCGGCACGCTGCACCAATCTGAAGCCAGGAGTCAGGGACTTCTTCCTGGTCTCCTATGCGGGTGCAGGCACCCAAGCACTTGGGCCATCCTCCACTGCCCTCCTGGGCCACAGCAGAGAGCTGGACTGGAAGAGGAGCAACCGGGACTAGAACCCGGCGCCCATAAGGCATGCTGGTGCCGCAGATGGAAGATTAAGCAAGTGAGCCACGGTGCCGGCCCTGGTGAGTTTCAGTAGTAAAACTTGACCTCTGAGTACTCAGCTCTCTAGAGCATGCTGGAGCTTGGAAGGAAATAACTCAAGAGTTGCATTTGGGTCCTGGACACCAAAACTGATGAGTTCTTGAGGCCAGGTAGGCGTGGAGGGATTACAGCCGCCATTAGGACCACCTGCCTTTGACAAAACAACATCAGTCTGGCAAGAAGTATCTTCGAAGTAATCTCGGTGGGCCGATAATCTGAGGCATCTATCCAGATTCTCATAATAGGGTTTCTGGATTATCAGATTATAGAGTAGGGAAACATTAAAAAAAAAAAAAGACAGAGGTGTGATAAGGATAGTGCAGAGTTGGGGCTGAATTTTTGACATGCTTCAGAAAAATGAAAGTGGAAAAAATCCAAGGATAGACCAAAACGGGTAGAACTAAACTACATGAGAGGAAATATAGTTAAACTATATTCAGATAAATAATAAAGTATTTTAGTAAAAGTATTTCCCAAATATTGCATGGGAAAGCTTATATGTTTACAATATCATTCAGTATTTGGCTGAAACTTGATTCCTGTATTTTTGTTCGACCATATTCTATTAAGTGCAAGATTCACTTTATTTATTTTTGAAATGCACATGCATGTTGTGCGTGCTCTTCTGTGCATATGCTATATTTTATAATAAATTTCTGTTTGAATGAGTTTCTCTTAAATTTTTGAGGAACAATTTATGCCAATTACAAAAACATCGTATTATTTACTCCATCTCCCAACACCTACACACTTCAGAAATGTACTCATATCTCAGCAGAGATGAAACAACTGAGGTTTACAGGTCAAATAACTTGTCCACAGAACTGGTAAGTAATAGAACCCTTAGTCCATCAGACCCCAGTATGTGCTCTCAGCACTGTAAAATGCCTGTATTATTAAGGAAAAAAAAAAAAAAAAAAAAAAAAAAAAAAAAAAAAAAAAAAAACAGACCCAACTCCCCAGAGACCCATGGGAAACTTGCAAACATGTTTGTCCTTGGAGCAAGGGATGGTCATTCTTTGGGCAATGAAGTTCACATTAACAAGTTTTTTTAAAAAAAGAACAGGAAAATAAACACTAACACTGACATATCACATATGTTAGACTTATCTGACAAGGATTTTAAAGCCATCATTACAAAATGGTTTGACATGCAAAATGAGCATGCAGGAAACAAAAGAAAAAATAGCATCAGAAAGAAATAGAAGACATAAAAAAGAACCAAGTGAAAATTTTAGAAGTTAAAAATAGGATAACAAAATAAAAAACTTAATGGATTGTCGCTCCCCGTCTTCGTGGAGGAACGACACAGGACCCTGCGCTGTTCTTTTGTCTGCTCGGCCCTCCCCGGGTTTGCTGCTGGTTCTTCCCGGGTTGGCTACCGTCCCTTCCACCTCCGTGGAAGGGCGGTTCCCCCTGCCACTTTCCCCACTTCCGCGGGGGAGCGGCACACCGCCGGCCGGCTCTCTCGGGGGCTGCTCAGGTGTTCCCCTTAGATGTTCCTGGTGCATGTTGTCTCTCTCCTCCTTTATAGTCCTCGTCCACCAATCCCAACTCTGCTACCCACACGCCGAGTATGCTGCTCTCCTCCAATCAGGAACAGGATCAGCTCCTGCAAGTCATCACTCAAGTTGGCGAGAGGCAGCTGTGTAGAAGTTGTTACTCCCTTCTCAGCGCCATATTGTGGGAGAGCAGATGCATAGAATAAGTCTTAA